CAGTCGACAGCTGGACTACTGTGGATTGCAGCTCATTTAGAGTCAATGTTAAAATGTTTCGTGATACATGAACTGCAGTAACGTGGCATTTTAGATACTACGATTTTTTTATGCACGGCTGGGGCCCCACCTCACGTGTGTCGCACAGTTACTTAGGCAACATTTCACGAATGAACGTCTTATAGGCCAACACTTCCCCTCTTCCCACCAGACCTCTGTGACTTTTAGCTATGCGGATTTTCTCAAAAGCACTGTTTATGGTGATAATCTAAACAATTTGGCAGAAATGAAAAATGTTAAACACTGACATGTCCGTAACATTCCTCCCGATATGCTAAGAGCTGCTGTTGAGAATGCAGTAACAGGATTTAACTTGCTTTCGGAAAATGCTAGACGCTACATTGAACATGCTTTGTAACACGTTTCGGAAAATATTAAACACATTTTAAACAGATGTTTTCGTGTCTTATTTCATTTAAGAATCTTGTATACAGCGTCATTTTCCCCCTGGTGATGAGTTTTTTTTTAACTATTTTTTTTTTTCCTCGCTGAAAATAAATTCCTCATAACCTCCTTTACACGATTCCCAAGTTTGATAACATTTGGTACGGTAGTTTTTCCTTTTATGACCATTTCAAATTGGAACTTTAATTATAACCACCATGTAAATTAAACTTTAAAAAATTTTTTACAGTTTGGTTCAAGTCCCAGCTTTAAAAATATATATATAAATATAATCTTTTATATTAATCCTCTTAGAAAGAATGTTTTAAGAAGCTAATTTTTCTCTCGCGTTATAGATTGTATAAAAAAAACATGATCTTTAATATGATTTAGATTGTTTCAGCCGATATAAGAATCGGGTTACTCGGTGGTACAGAATTAACCCTGCTGGACTGTTTTATTTCTTTGTCATTTAGCAAAAATCTTTTAATTAAAATATTTATCCTTTGGACTTCGCTTTTTTTTATTTATAGTTAAAATGACTAGAAAATGAAAAGCTGTCTTCAGCTGAAACGCAATTCATGTAATTGATATTTTAAAAAATTGACAAGAAAGCAAAATTTATGGAAGTCTAGCAATCGAAAAATCTTAATTTTCTTGTGTGTGCACTGAAAATAACTGTAGAAGGAAAGAAGAAAATTAGGGAGAAAAGTAAGCAAAAATTTGCAGGGAAATTTGGCTGTCAGACATACCAAGATGTTTCAAAAAGTTGGACGCTTTTGAAGATACTTTCAGGATACTTCAATGAATTTAGGTGTTCAAAAAAAAAAAGCACTTGGATGTGTACACCAGCAAATACCATTAATTGAGCTTGTGGTTAACAGAAAAGACAATATGGTTTAGACTATATGGTTGTATAAATTTAAATTACGTTATAGAACATCATATCGTATCATAAATGGAGAATCCCATGATTTTCTCATTCGAATTATTTGAAGATTCAGGAGTTTATCCAGTGATGTATGTGGATGTCACCTAAAGATGTTTTTTTTTTCCTCCTGATGAAACAGCGGCCGAGCGATAAAGTCACTGAACGCTGGTAGTTCTGTCCGAGGTCCGAATCCCGCGAACGGGCTGGCTGCATGGGCATTTTCGTGGTTTTCTTTTTTTCCCATGTGTAACGTGTATGCGAGCAGTCAGTTTCCCCTTAGAAAGTCCTCCACGAAGGCATCCCTCCCCTTAGGCAGATAGCCCTAGTGTGCTTTGTCATAATTAAATAAACCAAAACCTCTTGATGAAACCAGTCTTTCCTTTCATTCATCTCATACCTTCAAAATGTTTAGCCTCTAAAGACTGATAAAGGCTCTGACCAAATATTGATGAAATGGATTGAATTGAATTATTAAGTTACGTCAAAGCAGGGCTATCTGCCTAAAAGGAAGGATGCCTTTGTGAAGAACTTTCTAAGGGAAACCAGCTGGCATACACGGTACACATGAGAAAATCCACGAAAACGCCCATGCAACCAAGCCTGTTTACCGGGATTCGAACCCCGGAGTGAACTACCAGTTGTTCAGCGACTTTACCGCTCGGCCGTTTGTGGGCCTTTATGAAATGGAAGGCGATAACTTTATTTAAAATGATTGTCAGAAATATCAAGATATTTCGAAAATTGGATATTTTTTAATATATACTTGCGGAATGCCTAAAGAAAAGAGCAAGAATAGAATGAAGAAAAAGAGCAAGAATAAAGTAGAATGCCTGAAGAAAAAGAGAAGAAAAAAAACATTTTACGGTAAATTTAGTATTTGTATTTTTTTTTTTTTTTTTTTTTTTAATTCAAAAACTTTTTAATCTTATGATATTTGATTTTTACGATTTCAAAAATAAAATATTTGACTAAAATATGAATAACATTTAAGAAGCCAAATGTAGGATAAAATTGTGTAAAGCAATGGGCACAATGATAAAACTGTTTAAAGCAGTGTATGCAAGTCATCCTAAGTTAAAATGTCGCAATCCTAAGTTAAATGTCTCTCTTATTTATATAGTATATCTTTTCTGAACGGAACATTGAAAGGCGTGTTAACTGTGCTTTACTTACTGTATTTTCTCTTTTAATATATGCAGTTTTTCAAACGCATCGTAGTCTGGGTTACAAAGTTTTCCTCCGAAAGAAACGCAATTCAAATAAATAAAATCAAATTCTGGAAAATTTATATTAATAAATATATTTAAAATGCTTAATTCGAAGGAATAAATAGAAAATTTTAAAACAATTATCTGAAGAGACAATGCAACACAAACAATTAAAATAAAAGTATAAGAATTTAAAAATTACCTAAAATAATAACTATGACAAAAATATATATAAAGAAAACTATTTGAAAAAAAAAATAAACGCTGCACCTTTATTTACGCAGTTCGAATAGGAAGTAGAAGTTTTTAAAATAGTTATTCGAAAAAAATAACATGCAACTTAAACAATTAAAATGAAATTCGAAAAAAAAAAATTACTTAAAAATAATAGTTATAATTAAAAATATAATATAAAGAATATTATTTGGAAAAAAGGAACGATGGTGACTTTTTTTTTTCCGCTCACAGGAAAGGAAACTAGGTTGCCATATATTAAGAAGTTCGCCAAGTGAACTATTCTTGGCGCAAACTGACAAAAAAGTGCCGATATAAATTCTGTGAATTTCTCCGTAAATTTCGCTCCAAATTTTACAAAAATTTCATATTTAGGCGTAATTTGAGTCTTAGAATCGAAATATGTAAAAAAAATTGGTATGTTTATTTCAGAAAAAGTCCGATTTTGTGTCAAAATACCTATGTTAGAATAGTGCTATATAAATAAAACTGATATATATCCTAAGTCGCGCTTTCGAGACATGAAGAACACAATTTGAATTTTGTCAATCGGCCCAGTAGAGATCGGGAGATATAGGACTGTCCCTTTTTTTTTTTTTTTTTTTTTTTTAGCAGTGTACTATACAAGTACCTAACAAACTGGTTGCATGTAAACATGAAACAGAAAAACTCTTAGAAGATAAATATGGTGATTCTTTAGGACTGTTGATTTCATTGAGAGACTTGAATATTTGTCTGAAAATAAAATGGATAGTAACTAAATTTAGGATTAAAATCACTAATGATCAATTATTAATTTACACACAAGATAAAAGCGGGAAAAATTTCCTGTCCTAGCTGCTTATTAGGAGAGTTTGAATGAATGAGGAATAGTAGATAGTAACAAGATTTCTACAACTAGTTAACATGATGATGAGAGGATGAGAGGTGGTTACATAGTCATATTTAGGTAAAAATTTTTAGTGCTAAATTCTGTGCACTGTGATGCTAAATTCTCATTTAAGTTATTACGTGGGTCTGGCAGCAACAGTTTTTTAGTAAACCTTATGTTAAAACTGCAAGGCACAGTTAAATAAAAGTTACATTTCTCTGATATCCACATTCATTTGTGTTTATTTGGTACATGCTGTAACAGAAAAGGCAATGATTTTTAGCACTGAAGCCTTGTTGTAGCAGGTCGTTAAGCATAGGATTAAGCAGTTTCGCTACACTAGTTAGAAATGTATAAAAAAGTTGCTATGTTTTGAGATATTATCAACATTTGATGATCTATAGGAAAACTGCTGAACAAATTGAAAGCTGTCATACAAATATGAATTACTACAAGTTATGCCTCTTAGCAATTTGGCTAATTTTATTGAGCAATAAGATTTCCTTTCACTTTGTATGTAATGCCTTGTGCTTTAAAAGATTTTCCTCACAGATATTTTAATTATATAGAACTTGTTCTCAAGATCTTAAAATTCAGAGAACAAATATGAACTTAAATTATTCTAGAAAACAAGGCATTAAATGCTCTGTAAATACAGAACTTACTTAGTGAATCAAAAAAAGTGACTATTTTTAAATTAAATTGTAATGAAGATATTTATGAAGACTATAAAATGATTGTTGCACATGCAGCAGCAACATTTTAAGCTTACTCACTACACATGCTCACCCCATTCTCTCTACTATGTATTTGGGAGGGGGAATAAGCTTGCACTAAACAAGTTCCCCTGAGGCAAGTAATTTTATTTCACTTGCCGCAACATCCCTAACCCTCACACAGGGCAGAAGACTTAATAATCTTTCAGACACACCACAAAGGGTGTGAAGGTGAGCCTATAAATCTGGAGGTTGATAAATGGTCATCAAATTGCACCTACCTGTCTGAGCTTTTGATTACAACTCACTAGTCACCCAACCAAATTTATACAGTTCTGAGCTTTACCCCACTCCCACTAATTACAGGAACCCCAGTCTTGTGATTATATACCTTCAGAGGCGAGACTGCCAGTATACAGATCTTAGACAGTATGAGGAATGACACCAGGGGTGACTGTAGGAACAAAAAGTCTGAGTTTTAAAAAATTCACTGTGATACATAAAATAAAAATTTTACTTTTATTTGTTTTAATAAAAAAATGATTTTTACAACTGTAATTAAAAATAATTTTAATACCTTTAATTTACCTCCTTACCATAACAAATCTTTTGGCACGAGTTAAAATTTCTTCATCCATAATACTTGCATTAGCAATAAATATGAAGAAAACATAAGGTTTATGCAACCTTGCATTATCTAGTCTAAAAATAAATCTGAAGAATGCTACAAAAAGGTCAGCAACACCTAAAATACAGAAAACAGAAATTTTCTATAACTAAAACCTACAAAAAATTAAAGTACTGCTAAATTATAAAATATATTATCATATTAAGCAGGTAATAAAACTTTTATAGCAAAATATCTCATTAAGGAACAAAATATAAAATGCAAGTAAGGAATGAGACCAATTCAAAATTAAAAATAGAGTTTGAAAGAAATTAGTTAACAAAAGGCATTAGAAAAGTAGCTAAGCAAATGCATATCAGGAATTGTGCAAATAGAGAAATACTGTGCAAATTAAAGACAGGATTTTAAACAATCTGACTTTTGAGGAATGTATCTAATGTATGTTTGTTTGTATGGGTGTGTATGTGTGTGCGAGAAAGAGCATGTATATACGGAAAGATTGGCCCAGAGCTATGAAAATTAGCATGAGTTATGATTGGACAGTGAAGATGTGTTGAAACTTTTTATTTATTTATTTTGGTGGATTTTTTGCTCCATACCTTTGCTTTACATGAACAAACTAATAACCCCCGAATGTCATTGTTTGCACTCTCAGATAGAATAGAAAAAATTGTCCATGGGTTCATGAATTTGGAGTGACTGATGACAACACTTGATAAAGAATCAAAACACAATTTATTCGCCCGTACAGGAGAGTTCCAAAGACACATTTATAGTTGTCAAAAAACTATGATAAATACGCTGAAACAATCAGCAACACAGCCTTCGGCCTACAACAGTGAGAACAGCTTCACTGCAAAGCACTAAAGTATAGCTCCTAACTCTGTTCGGTCACTCTCAAGCTAATCTCTGAACTCAACATACTACTCTCTCTATGTACAGGCAGGGTATATATAGCTTTTAACCTATCTTCAAAAACATTCTCGAGGAAACCCACTAAGAATGCGTTCCAGAATGTTCTCGCTCTGTCTATGGCATATTGCCAATTATGTCACCAAATGGGTGATTTTGTGCCAAATCTCGCAGCCCAGAACCTGTTTTGTGGGGAAGCCATCTTACCGCTGCTAGGCATTTCGTAACATTATCTTTCAAACGATATTTGCTCCAAAACTCTAACTTACTGATTTTCAGACTAGCCACAGCTCAGTCTGAAACTGAATATATTTTGAGATAAAATGTTGCACAACTGTATAACTAACTAGAATCTGATCATGTATATATCTAAGTTTTTAATGAAAAAAATGCCATCAGTTGTAAGTGCACATTAAACATTTAACTGATCTATATTTTAAAATGTATTCTGAAACTTACATGCTTTCCTGTCCTCTAGATTGCCATTTGATACATATGATCCATAAACTAAATCTGCACCAATATCTGCAAACTAAAGGAGGGAAAAAAGAATTATACTACAAACTGTGATCTGTAACTAAGAATTTACTTATTTTATATTTTTACACAGAGAAGATACAGAATACAGGAAATCAATACAGGAGCTTAATACAACTCTGCAAAATTTTTTTCGCGTTTAGAATATCAGCACAGCTTATAAAAATAAGTTAATTACTAGCTTAAATTTAAATTCAAATGCTTTTCTTTACTTCCTACACTCTCATAAAATTCTGTAAAAAGTAGGCCCAGCCTGGATCATTAAATTACAGCAAAGCACTTAAGCAGCATGTTAGGCAAAGCAGAGGATGCCATCATGGAAGACTTTCTAAGGCAAACTAGCCAGTACTTACACTATACATGAAGTAACAGATGGAAGCTGCACCCTGTTCAACTGCTGATAAAGGCCAGGGCAAACTATCCAAGTTCCCTGTCACTGAAAGTAAGATAAAACAATCAACAATGTTATCCAATGCCTGCATTATTATTCTGGTGTTCAACATGCATTTTTTAGTTATATGCATAAATTTATATATGAAACAGATTCGCCATTGTTTAGTTATATGCATAAAGTAACCCTGGGGTCAAATGCTTGCTTGATAATATAGCATGACAACATACTCTGGAGAAAAATAATTTTGAGCTTGGGGGTCCCAGAACCCGAGGAAAGACTGTTTACATAGTTGGACCAAGGGGGGGGAGGGCTATAGTCTACTTGGGCTGATGGTATCGGCAGTGGGCATTGCTTTGCCTCCTGATCCAAATTCCATATAAAACCACAGTATTGGTAGCAGTGTGCTGCCATGGACAGTATGTGGTCATCACAGGTATTTCATGTCAAACCTTCAACCTGGTGGCCTGCCCGTGCAGTACTGGGGAGCCCTTTGACGACCAGTCCAATCTCTAGGCTTCATATTCCCAGCTATGGTGAAACCTGAAAACCAGAAGTAGTGACCCTGTGGGCCCAGAAGCAGAGAGATTTTCAGCCACCTTGGACTGGAAGCCTGGGGTGGTAGCATAGGAGAGCTTCCTTTTCCTCTCAGGAAACAACTGACTAGCAACCCTCCCCTTGCCCAATATAGGAGTTCTCAGCTGGGTCAAGTCCATGTAGTGTCTAAGATGGAGCACATAGACAAATATTAATGCATAAAGTAATTGCTATGCAACAGGTGCATAGCTGGCTAAAGACCTCTCAGCAGACACTGGCACTTGAGCATCCTTAATTTGGGATCCAAAATCTCATTCAACTTACTCAAAAGGCTAATCAGAATCTGCCACAGATATGGAGTTTCATATGGCCATTTCTCTCCTGATTTCTCCTCAAACAGGTAAACTTCATTAAAACAGTGTCTTTCAAGGATATGTGATGGAACACTTTGTGTTCCATGTTCTCTCCAGATTACAATGCACTCAAAATCATTATCCATGAACACTAATCAGGTTCAGTTACCTTAGTTTAATGAATTATAAAGCGACTTAAATTGCTCTCTTGGAAAATTTAGAAAACTAAACACAATGCAGTGGTTTTCTCATATAAAGATCATGCCCATGAATTTTTCGGTAACCAGGAGGCCTGTTCATTTGAGTACCAGTGGTAGGTGAAGGTTCAAAGACAGTTCTAGTTGTTACATAATGGTTTTTTCATGACACCAACAAATAATGGTCTTTGAATGCTATAGTTACCTTTGGAAGATCTTGGATGATTGGTATGACTACTAACTTTTCCCATGCTTAAAATGTCCTTCCAGAGTTTTGAAATCATGTTTTGGAAAATATTTAGTTCTCTGAAGACATGTATATTGGATTTACCTCATGTTTGGATCACTTGGCCTGTTTGTCTTTTATCTACCTTCCCTCAGGCATGATTAACTGCATTTGACCACAGTCAAACTTACAATTTTAGGTTTAGTGATGATGTGAACATGACATTTAATATGCTTTCTGATTTGGTCCCATCTGCTTTATTAGCATATTTTGTGTACAATACCTGCATAGCAATTGTGTTAAAACTGCCACAAATAATCACATCAAGTGAGATTTTAATCAGTCTTTGTATAGTTTAGCGTCATAAATACGATTATTTAATTTTAAATCCAGCAAAATTTACATTGTGCAAAAGAGGTCAATGAACTCACAATATAAGAACAAAATTAGACCTACTGGTACTGATTTCAGCAACTATTAGCTAAATTAAAACTGTCAACTAATGACATATTAAAAACTGTAAAATAATTAAATTTGGAAGTTTTCATTAAAATATTTTAAGAGAAATTATTGCAGTTTTCTTTTATTATACTGTCATGTGTAAAGGGGGAAAAATCCACACATCATAGAGTAAGTAATTTATACAGATGTGAAGTTATTGGTGAAAAATACTAATTTTCTACTTATTTTGTACTTGAGCAAAGTAAATTTTATAACTTTTTATTATTAAATTATATACTGAATCAGTAAATAGAACAATGCATAACTATGTTTGAAGCTATTTATGACAAATCTGTTTTTAATAATGTTTAAAAAAAATCCTGTGTAGAAGTAACGTGTTTTTGTTTTTATGGAGGATAAGTTATCTTTAACATTGCATGAGAGTTTCAAAGCTGCTATTCTATGATCTTAGAGAAACTGAGAACAATACTTACAGCTGGAAAGCTTTTGCAGTGAGCTGGACTGTCATGTTCAGCTTTCATTCTCATATAAAGAATATCTCAAGAGGTTGTAGTAAAGTTTAAACGTTTTTCAGCACTTAACTAATACTGTGAAAAAAACCGCTGTCAGCCTTCACGTATCGTTTAAATTTTAAAGCTTAACTTAAAAAAATTGGTGTCAGCCACTTCTTTTTGTGAAAAATAGAGACCAAAACAGTTTTATTTAAAGGGAAATGAGTTTGAGTTGACTTAAATTGTATTTGTTTTGCAGAGTCACGTTAGAGTGCAATTTCTATCCACAGTCAAATACACTAACCCTTTGCACTCACAGCCTTCTTGTATATCAGCCTATATATCATAGCCTTCTTGTATCTTCTTGTATATTCATATATCAGAAACATGGTGATATTTGCTCAGGAAAATAAAAATTACAAATTATAAAATTACAGAATAAAACTTAAAACGTAAACTTAAGGGGGGGAACGTAAAACTCAATGTTCTCAATCTGCACCATTCTATACTTAATCATAAATTGTGTTGAGCTTTGATGGTCTATTCCTTTTAGGCTATAATCATAGTTAGATTTGCTTATCTATCTTTTTAAATATAGAATAACCTATGAAGAGCGTGTCTTTTAAATAAAACTAGTACATACTCCAATTTGTGTTAAATCTATTTATAAATTTCAAGACTTACCCTTTTGATGATTTTCTTGATGTTGGATTACATTTTTTCGAATATCTGCTAGAAAAAACTAATGTCTTTGTTTTGTGAATCATTCGTAACATAGAAATAATCATCACACATGACTTAGCTTTTCTTAGTTTTATAATGACACAATATTATTTTCCATTCTTAGTTTAACCGTTCGACTGCTACATGGCGCAAAAGTGCTGTGTTCATTTGTCTCAAAAACCACGATGCAGCACTTCTGCGCTGTGAGTTTCAGTGTGTCTTTGTTGCTCAGTGGGTGTGAACGTACGTAGTCTGACCTTACGCGTACTTTGTAACACAAGTGCATTCCAAAATAACTAACTGCGTCGCAGTTTTCAAGACAAATGAATGCTTTTGCGCTGCGTAGCAGTCAAACGGTTAAAATGATAATGATTTAAACAACAATATTTGATTACGGCTGATTCAAAAACTCAAAAAAAAATCTGAGCTCAAGTTAATGTTCTAAATAAAAATGCCAGTTCTACAGTTTTTGTCATGTTTCTCTCTTTATTAGCATATTCTCTCTGCTGCCAAAACGCTCAAATCCATAATTGTTTACTTCTTCTCTTTGTTATTTTTTTTTTTCTTTCACAGGAGTAGTTGCTATGAAAGTAGTCTCAACAATTTGAAGAAAAAATATGTTTAACTATAACCGTTTCTAACAGTATAAACAAATCTACTTTACACATAACAAATGCTACATATCCCTTTCTTTAGACTGAAGCTTAGACCACACCATGAATGATTTCACACATTCTCTTACAATGTAACACCAGCTGACACTTTTTTAATATATCGAAGTATATAAAACATATTTTAAATTGATTTTTTAAAGCATTTCAACAGAAAACTTTCAGAAAACACACATTCTTCAACAAGTATATCCTATGTAGGCACTAATAAGCTTAATTGTTCTCTGGCAGGGAACATCAGTTTGGTGTCAGAGAGGGAGACTTAGAGTAGGAAGCATCAGAGTGGGAGACTTGACAACCAAATGCAAAACAATAAATTACACAAAATCTTAAAAGTCTAATTATTCAGAATTTCAGTTGATCTGACAGTTGAGATACTAGATTTAGACGTATGAAATCAGCAGATTACTATTAATGCTGCAATTAAAAAAATTACACTAACAGTGACATACAAAATGTTTTTGCCATGTTATGAAATCTAGGGAAAAAAAACCCATTCACAAAATTTTCAGATACATTTATTTAATTAGAAATAAGAATATGCTACAGTTAAAACCCTAGCAGCATACAAAATAGATTAGTGAATCGATTCAGCATCTTTACTATGCAATTCAACATTATAGCTGCCAAATTTGAAATCTGAAAAGCAGGAAGTTTTCTTTCTCTCTCCTGTTTCAAAATTCTGTGATAAAATATATTAACTTAATATTTAGTCTACTCTAAATTTTACTTTGAATGAATGATTTTTGGCTAATTCATTAGATTCTTTTTATTTTTTTATAATTTTATATCAGTGAAAATCTAAGTATGTAGGAAAAGCTTCAAAGCACTAAAGTTCAAAGCTAATTAATATGATTACAATCATAAAGATAAATTTCGTAGTGCTCCAGTTGAAATAAAATTAAACACTAATATTTGCCTTTTAAGCATTATTTAAGCCTTTAGAAAATGATTTACAAATCTCTATAATGATGAAAAACATATCGGGCCAAATAAGTACTTAGAAGAAAATGGAACTGTTGCTGCTGTTACTAACTGATTAGACCAGATCCATGAATTCAAGAACCATGAATAAACCAAAAGCAAAGGTAGGCCCTTTTCAAGTGATCCTCTTTTACAAACCCCAAACAGGTGAGAAGTTGCTCAGTACTGATATGATCAGTATTACATTTCCTACAGATAGAGTAGATCTTATTTTCTCAGTCAAATCTAAGGCACTTCAGGTGTCTACTGAGGAGCCTCATCAAAGTAGTCTGCTGAACACGATTACTTCCAAAATCAATAGCAACTCTTGGCTGTCTGCCAAAGTGCCAATCATGAGTCGGATGAGAATGCCAGGAAGAGGCAACAGTACATTTAACTATTGAGCAGATCTCCAAAAAGGTCAGCGTGCCAGTCATCAGAGTCCCTGAAGTACCTTCCTCAGCTAGGGCATCAGCCATTTCATTACCACTGAGGCTAATATGTGAAGGCATCCATTGTAGATGTACATCATGTTTGGAAGTATGTTTTTGCAGTAAAGAGAAAATAGAGAATGAAGTCTGATCACCAATACAAGGCCAATTTCACAAATGCTGGATAGAACGACAATTGTCAGTCCTCTTGCACTGCCTACAGATATCTTTGTAGGCAGTGCAAGAGGCTGCATACACTTGCAGTGCTCTCCTCAGTTGCTATAAGCTCAGAATGAAGAAGAGAATAGTGATCAATAGGTTTCTAGTCTTAATATTAAAGCTATTATTAGGTGTTCTAATGAAGACTCCACTAATGCAATTGCCATATTCATTTTTACTGCTGTCAGTGAAAAAGTAAAAGGCATTAGAGCGAATGCCATTTAAAATTTCCAGTGCTATCTTCCAAAGATAATCTGGTAATTTTTTATTTTTTGAGGAGGGTACAGGTATAAAGGTGAAGTCTATGTGAAAATAGACACCAGAAAGTCCTGCCAATGGGTTGATAGTAAGTTTCAGTGAGTATTTATTAAACTGATGAGATATGCCACAGAAAAAAGACTATTTCATTCTAATCTTTGATTAGAAGCCCAATTATGAAGAAATATTGAGGTATGGTTATGAAAACCATAACTTTATAGTTTATTAAAGTAATTTGACAGTTTAGCTTTGAGTCTCAGATAAAACGGTTGTATATCACATTTAAGGAGAGCTATTTCAGGTGGCCAGCTGTTGTATATGTCAGCAATTAGACAGGCTGCATTCAAATGAACATGCTCAAGTTTAGCCAAATGGGTAGAAGCACAGAAGTAAATCTCTGAACCATAAAATAATCTTCCAAAATAAGTGCTATAAGTGACATATATGTACATTTGAAAGTACATTAATCTGTCCCCCCACATAGTACCAGATATATACTTAAGGAAATTAAGTTTTTCCCTGCCCCTCAAAAACAGATTTTCATTGTATTTATTACTCAGCAGCTTCAGATCAAGCAAGTAGCCCAAATACGTAGGATGTTTAATATATGGTTAAAAGCTAAATGAGCATAACATTTATCCGGATGATAATTATATAATTTTTTATTAATGGTAAAAAAACACACACAAAAGATTTAGAGATGTTAAATTGTATTTTATAGTGGGTGGTGAAAACTTCCACTACAGAAAGTGTAGAATTGATACTATTTTCAATCACTACAATATCTGGACCAGAGTTCCATGAAATTAAATCATTAGCAAATAGTCCAGTTTCACATCTCTGAGAAATAACTGTCTGAATCCCTGCCGAATATAATGAGAATAATAAGGGACTCATAACAGAGCCTAAGGCTTAGTCTGTAGTCTTTAGAGAACATTAAAGTTGACAAAGATCTGCAACTCAGAAAATCTTCAGCCCAGGCTAGTGCCTTCCCATCAAATTTAAAAGTATTATATACTTTGTGATCAGCTTATTAATCTAGACTAAATCAAAAGCTTTTGTCAAGTCTAAAAACACTGCTGCTGTGTGGCTAGTGGATTTCAATTTATGTGAATCTTTGAGACTTTTTGCACAAAATATAGGATTTGATCGATAGCAGAGTGTTCTCTCGGAAATAAATCAGTAGAATCCAAGTAAAATGTCCGTCTGTGTAAAATCATTTTCTCCATTACCTTACATGGGAAACTAGTCAATGCAATATATCAAAAACTGTGGGGCAATCAGGCTGGTTTATTAGGCTCTCACATTTGCACTCTTGATGACGTCTACCTGGCTTCCAGGATTAAAAATTTCCAAGACTCACCTCAAGGGTACATCATTTTACTATGAATATTATCAGGAACCAGGAGATTTAGAAAGATCAAGTGTCCTCTTTATGTATTTTACTTTGGCAACCATGAACAATGTATCTGGCCCTATTCTTCAGCATTTTTATCTTCTCAGATAAAAATTAGTTTACTTATTTTTTGCTAGTGGCAACCTAATAGATTAGCAGCAGCCTTATAATTAGGGGCAAACTGCCTGTGGTTGACATAAATGAAGTTACAAACCTCATACTGTGGTTGACATAATTGAAGTTACAAACCTCATACTGTGGTTGTTTATTACTAAGTTTTTTTACCATCTTCCACAGTTTTGTAGGTAGTAGCCGAAGTCAGAGTGAAATCAGCCTTCTACTTTTTGGTGTTCCACATTTCTTGTACCACTCTCCTTTTTCGTTGAACCAGATCAGAAAATTGAACTTGAACAATTTCCCATTTCATTAACAGATGATAATAGCTTTTCTTAAGACCTTGTAATGAAAATTTTCTTCACAGCATTTCCTTTCTGATAATTAGAGATCAACAATTCTAAAACTATACTTGAAAGAGGTAACTTAGATAAATTAAAAACCAAGAGATCTGGAGACCTACTGGAAGACTGGAAGATAAGACAAAAAATATGGAGTCTCCCAGTAAAACCAGGAGAGTGATACATCTAGTATATATGTTTAGTCAATTTTCCCTGGAATTACACACTAGAGAATTACAAAATGCCCTTATATTTTACAATATGGTAGAAAGTGACTGAAATGAAGATGACAAATTGAGAAATTATGATTGGCAGTTTATTTATTTATACATGAATACTTTTATATAAAATATGGTGGTTTTAGTTAATCAAAATCACAAACCAATCAACATCTAACAGAATTAAATAAAAATTCGATGAGAAATTAATCACCTCTTTTTCAGAAAAATCCTCATATTTTTCAGAATATTTTGTATGCTCACAGGATCCTGCATCGTTACAAGGTTGAATACAATACTTTTCTATTATTATCTTTTCCTTCATTAAAACTTTATGGCCTGAAAAAAAAATTAAAAAAGCCATTGCATTTCCATGGAAATTCTATTGAAAGTTAAATTATTTTATTTTACTCAGAGGCATTCAAATTTCAAATAAAATAAAAACTCCATTACACAGATAAAACTAATAGTTTTAAAATTCATAGATCTAACCTTGTAGGGATTTATATTTATTTTAACTAACAAGTTAAAGTTTAATTTGAAACTTTCCTATAAGCCTTCATTCCCCTAATTGCTAGTGACAGAATATTTAAATTTTGTAGCATGTGTGAAGGAATGCAAATTTTACTTTGAAGAAAGTATTTAAAAGCTGAGTTTCGGTAGAAGAAAAGAAAGGCTATAGCCGCCACCTCTGCTGTAGATATGTTTGCTTATTGCTGGTTCAAGTGGCTTAACTGCATTTAATTGCTGCCACTAGTTTCAAAGGGGGTTTAAGTAACGGGATCTCACTGAGCCCTGTAGGTTAGTTTTAGCACTTGTTTAATACCTTCTAATTTTAGTGTCGTTATTTGATTTTCAGTTACCGCCTGAGTAGAGGCGAAGTTTGTTAGCGTCGAGTTGATGCATTGTCAATTTTAAAGAGCTAATAAAGGGTTCATTAACCTTTCTACTGTGTAGTTACTACTACTGCTATTCCAGTCCTTCATATAGAAAAATACCTGTTGGACTTTACAACCTAAATAATTATTACTTTTATCCTTAACAAGCACATTCCTACTTATTATTTCGTAAATAAACAGTAAACATCTTCCACAAAATCCTTGATCTGAAATGGAACTTTGACTGATGGAATGCTACAACCAATACACAGTTAACATTAAAAAGCTCTAGTATGAATGTAGATAGAATAGGAAAATACTCTGCAAAATTAAATTTAATGATTTTTGTTCTAAAACAATTAACTCCAAAATTCCAAGGGTAAAACTATAAAATAGATGATAAAAATTAAACAATCTACAAAAACAAAAGCTTTACAAAATCTGCATAGAGAAAATGAAGTCTTCTACTTAACTGGAAATTAGTGCAAAAAAAGAAATGTATTATTTTATGCAACATTACCTCACACCCGGTAAGAGCAGAAGCAATCTTTCATTAAATTTGAGTTAAAATTATGAAATAGAAACTTACATATATCACTCTGAGAAATCACACAGATTGGTAATTTTTCTTTTGGTGGTTGTGGAGGAGTATACATAATAGTTTCATAGTTCTTCCGCCGCTTAATGAGACATGACCTATCAGGATCAGATTTACACAAGTAGCACACCCATGCATCATTCTGTACAATCTGATTTTTAAAAAAAAGTATTAAAGAAAGAAACAAATGGTAATATCTCATGAAGAATTAAATATCACATTTCTTTGTTTTTTTTAACCTACAATAATACCTTTCACATCTGATTCTAATTTCAGCCAAAAATTGGTTGCATATCTTTCACACATTACTGTAGTAACATTACAAGCTCTAACTGAGAAGCATGTCATTCAGGTGATGCAGTCTAAAGCCTGATGTGAACACTTCTGTTATGCATGATTACAATTTCACATCGAAGATGAATAACATGTAGCTTTATTTTTTAATGTATTTATTAATTTTTTAGTCATTATAAAACTTTCAGATACCTGGCAAAATTAAACTATAAATAATAAGTAAACTAAAATCAATTTTTTTTTCCATGTTTCAACTCCTCTTAAATGCTATAATAATCTTTAAGAAGGAGTTACATATTAAGCATCCTTTGAAATGTAATTTGATGCTAAATTCAATTTTTATAGATATTAATCATCAGTTATAGAAATGGTAAGCAAAAATGTACACCCACTCAAAATAAAAAAAAAAAAAAAAAAAAAAAAAGTAGGAGGGACAGTTTTATATCTCCCATTCTACTCGGCCAACTAATGAAATTCAACTTGCATGTTTCACCTCTCGAAAGTGCAACTTAGGGTACATTTTAGAACATAGCATTCTCCTGATATATGTATTTTGATACAAAATCAGAGCTTTTCCTGAAACGACATGCCGATTTTTTCCCATATTTTGATTGTATGCCTCAAATTATGCCAAAGTGCCAAATTTTGTAAAAATAATATATGTAGTTTTTTAAATATTAGCTCTCAAAATTTTAGCTCCTCAACATTAACTGAATTTGGTAATACTTATTAATATCTATTTCTTATTAAATTTATTGGATGTCTTCTTTCACAATTAAAAATTTAGGTTCAATACAAATAAAATCTGCACATTTTTTCTGATTTACTTTTTAAATTTATATTTTTTTAGTAATTCATATAATTTTTTAAAAACATTTTGAACTAATAAAACTTTTTACATCATCTTAAAGTAGATGTATTTATAGGCATAACTGTAAAAAATAAGATCTGGATCTGAAAAATTTTTTTATTCAAAACTTCCAAAATATGTGTATTTATATACTGGCATGTTTTGAAATTTGGCATCTTTGTTATAAGTCATAATAAAGCCAGATAGCATTTTCACATTTTTTCACAATCTTTAAATAAACTGCAATAGTTATTTTGAGGCTAAATTTCCGAATAAACCTTTATTGAAGATTACTGGAGGAGAATTTTTAAATTCTCATTTTTATTTATGATGGTTAATAAATAGTTTATTAACACTATATGAAAAGCTAGTGTTTAAATTTATAACAAATATTAATGAAAAGTTTAAAGATTTTTTTCTTCATGTATAATAGTCAATTTTTACCTTCACCATTTTGTTGCCTGCTGTTTTACTTAATTTCATTTTATATGCAGCAAATACAGATTTCAAAATTGTTCATCATACATATATGCAATACTTCTAAATATACAAAACAATCCACCAAAAAAAAAATAATAAATAAAACATGTCTACTGCTACAGAAGTGTTTAACAGCAGCAAAATTTACTAGTATATGATTTTTATCTCTTTTTTTTTGGTGTGTATAACAAAGGCAACAAATAAAAGTGATTCTGAAGATGTTTTATGGCCGAAGACATTTTGTAGTATTAACTGCATAACAAATCTCTTAATAAACTGTTGTTTAATAAAATTGGCCGCTAATATTATCATCAAAGGCCATTTTTTCCCCAAAGCAAAATATATTTTTAAGTAAACACATTTTTAAAAGTCAAATTGTGATTTGTCACGACCTAAATTCTAATCATTAGTAATATTATAAATAATGAATATTGTTATATTTATTTTCACATTATTGTTTCTATTACATTTTCTGTTATGCTGGAATTACCTGAAATTCTACTTCTAAAATAATTTGAAACATTTAAAAGCCATCTTTGTCTGTAGCTAATTGTTTGTCAATCAAACTTGCACTTCTACTTTTTTCCTCAACTTTGCCAAAATGCATAAATTAAGTATGTTTAACTAACAAATGACAATCTAAGTGCAGAGCGAGAGTATTGTCATTTTAACCATTAGAGTTATTATTTATCACACTTCTCACCATCAGATAACTACATTGGTTTTCAATGAGCTTTTGGTTTTCTAAGCTTAAAAATATCCATTTAAAAATCATGTATAAAGTAGGTTGGTTGGCTATTTAATTGTGGCAAAGCACATGGAGGCTATCTGCCTAAGAGAAGGAATGGCTTCACTGAGGACTCTTCCAAAGAAAAGTGACTCCTCTTAATTACCTAGAATACTACCAAAGTCAATCACTCAGCCTGCCATTTGACTCCGCATCAAATGACCAGTAGTCAGTGTCTTCAAGCACTAAGCCATTGATGGGGCTCGCTTAAATTAGAAGCCAGGTTTTAGTCTCTAATTTATTATTTTATTTTAATATTTAAAAGTGTTGCATTCTCTCACACCAAAAAGCAGGATTTAAGTTTTGCTTTCTCTTTAGTAAACTACCATGCCATAGTGCAAATGAATACTCGGTTACATTTGCTATTGGGTTGGAGGGAAAGTTCTGTCGTATTTTAAAGAAAATATTTGAATTCATTTATAAAAATATGTGTTTAATATTAATCAATTATATATGCTCCGTTATTTGTTACAACCTGTTGCCATCTTCCAGGTAACCTGTAAATTCCTGTTTTGTAGAAGTTCTCATCCATGGAGTTAAAATAGTCAGCAACTGCCTTAGAAACACTTTCAAAAGACTTGAATTTTTTTCCCGTTAGATAATTTTGCAGAGATCTGAACAGGTAATAATCAGAGGGTGCAATGTCAGGTGAATACGGGGGGTGACTAAGGATTTCCCATCCTAACGCATTCAGTTTTTGTAGTGTCACCACTGCAGTATGCGGGCGAGCATTATCGTGATGGAACACTATTCCTTTTCTGGACGCTAATGCTGGCCTTTTTTCTTTGATAGCTGCATTCAATTTATCCAGCTGATTGCAGTACAGATCCGCGTTGATGTTTTTTTCCCTGTTTCAGCAACTCGTAATACACTGGACCTTTCCTGTCCCACCACAAACAAAGCAGTACTTTTCGTTGATGGATACTTGGTTTTGGAACTGTTGCTGATGATGTTCCTGGTTTGCAGTAAGATTTTTTTCTTTTAATATTCTCGTAAAGAATCCACTTTTCATCTCCAGTAACCAGCCTGTCCAAAAACGGCTCCACATTGTGTCTAATCAGATGTGATGAACATATTCTTACACGATCAGACAAATTCTTTTCCGTTAATTCATGTGGAACCCAAACACTTTGCTTTAACACAAACCCAAGAGATTTAATGTGATCTCCAACAGTTGTATGATGAATGCCAAACTCTTCTGCAATTTCTCGACTTGTTAAATGTGGATTATTTTCCAACATGGATCGCAAAACATCATTATCGATCTTGGATGGTCGTCCAGATCGAACACTTTCTTTGAGGCTCAGGTCCCCGGAACGAAATTTGCTAAACCATCTTTGACAAGTACGAACATTTACAATATCTTTTCCAAATACCGCACATAAATTTTTACATGCAACAGATGCGTTGCTTCCTTTTTGGAATTCATATAAAATGCAGTGTCGTAAATGCACTTTATCTACCGACATGTTTTTCCCTTTAAATATTACAAGTAAATGATGAACGGTAAAAAAAGGGCACCTTTTATATTATACAGCAGCTAAAAAAACAAAAAAAAATCCGATTGACTCACTAGCCAGATTTTTTTTTTTTTTTATTTACAAGAAAAATCACCTGCCTATTTAAAATACGACAGAACTTTCCCTCCAACCCGATATTATTTTATTCACTTAGTGTTCTTGGAATCTGAGCTAGAGATGGGATGATGATGTCCTTGCATTCTGGGAAGATTTAAATGTGTGTTTACAGTTAAGTGATATTAGGTTTGCCTTACAAACTAAGGTGTCAAAAGAATTCTGAAATTTTAAACATTTGCCCAAGTAGTTGACTTTTAAATGGCTGAGAATTAATAAGATGATTTTTAATCTTATGATTTTTAATCTTACACTATTCAATCAGAAACATTATTCCAAATGCCTTATATTGCATGATAAAGCATCTTCCTATTGGGCAATAACCATTTTGTAGAACCGGTTCTGTTCTGAAAATAAGTATGTGTACTCAGTTGTCCTTCTTGTTCTTCAGATTTGTCTCCTTGTGATTATTTTCCTCTCCCAAAAACTGCAGTTTCCTCTTAAAGTGTTTGTACATGACCTCTGCAAATCTTCTCTTTCATTACCTGCCATACTTGAATTAATACAGGAAATTCAATTATTGTAAGCTCTACAACCTATTTTTAATACACTTTCATTACTTAATTGCCATAGAGTGAATAACAATAAAACTTTGATTACTTGAGCTTTGGTACATCAGAATTTTTGACAGAATAGCTGTTGGAACTCTGAATTTCAATGCAAGTCCAAGGGAATATTGGAGCATGTATTTCGAAAATTGAATCAATTCAAGGTCGAATTTTCTCTCTATATTTTTTTGGGGAAAGGAGTTCCTTCTGTTTTGCTCATTGAAACTTGACTATATCCGGACTGATTCTTTGCTATGTTCCACAAAAGCAAAAATCTTATGCATGATATACATATTTCACAGCATACAGTTTCAAGTTAAAATTTAACAAAATAAGTTAAGCTGTAGCAGCCTGAGGGTTTGGATCATGGCCCAGCTTTTAGTAAAAATATATGAAATATAAATTTTTGCATTAATCCTCTTATAAAGAATATTTTAAATAGTCAGTTTTCCCTCAAAATGCTCTTTAATATGGAAATTACTGGTCTTAAAATTTGTCAAAATAATATAAGGTAGATTGCTTGCGCCCAATATAAGGATTGGGACACTTGATGAAACA